GTGGGTGGCGCGGGCCCCCCCCCCTGCCCCGCCATGTTCCCGCCCCCACCACACACACACACACACACACACACACACACACACACACACTGGGTGGGGGCGAGCAGGCGGGGCCCACGCGGGATGGTGCTGCCACCTTGTGGCCTGCTGAGTGCCACGGAGACACGGCGCCAGCAGCAGTGAGACCGTGCCCTGGGGCCCCATGGTTTGGGGTGGCAGAGCTGAGGGGTGGGTTGGACCATGACCAATCTGGGGAGGGTTGGGGTGAGCGGGTCCTGGGGCCTGAACAGCCCATGGGGAGCCCGGCAGAGCACCGTGGCAGCAGCCCTAGGCTCGAGACGCGGCCCCTTGGCCAGCTCTTTTACAACTCCTGGGCAGTGCCCAGGGGGCCTCGGCCAAGAACTGCCCAGGCCAAGCAGCCCCACTCCTGGCCCTGCTGGGGCCTGGCTGGCAGGCCTGGCGTGGGGGCAGCTGCGGGTACTCAGCTCTCTCCAGGCGTCTCTAGGGGTGGGCCAGGGGTACACACACAAAGAGGGCTGGGCCTGTCCCAGGCTGGCACCCCCCCGGGCGAGTGCGGCACAGACGGTGCCTATGGCAAGTCGGCCTGAAAGGGGGCTGTGCTGCCTGCGGGGAAGGGGCTGCCAGAGCCCTGGGAGCGGGGGTCAGAGGGCCACGCTGAGCTGGTAGTGCCCAGCCAGGGCAGGGTGGAGGTGGGACGGCCCATCCTGGACAGGGCCGGGAGCAGACAGAGTGGAAATGGCAGGAGCTGCCCTGAGCTGCAGGGAGCTGCCCTGTGCACTGCCAGCTGGGCAAGGCCTCTCTGGCCAAGGACAGGAAGGGCTTCTTACCTCAGTAACCGGGCACGAGTCTGGCCTCTGCCCACCTGCCTGGGCTGTAGGATGGAGCAGCTCTGCACATAAACCACAGAGAAAAGTCACCGGGGCCTGAACCTCCTGCCCACAGCAGCACCCTCACAGGGCCCACAGGCAGGACGGGGCGCCAGGCTCCGCAGGGAGCAGGACACAGCCGTGGAGCTCATTCGGGGCCCCCCGAGCGCAGGGGCATGGGGTACCTGTGCCAGGCAGGGCTGTGGCCTCAGCATCAGGGCAGCGCATCAGGGCCTTGGGGTGCTGCTGCCCACTGGGAAGGGTGCAGAGCGGAGCCCGGCATCGCTCACGTGGCTGAGTAAGTGCCTGTCACCGGGGCAGGGCCAGGTCGCCCGACCAGACTGTCCCGACACACTGGCTCAGAGGCAGGATGGACTGGGCCAGACTGGCCATGCCAGTGGGGCGAGGCCCTGTGCTGCGTGACCCTGTGCAGCACCCAGGCGCAGGGCGCGGTGGGTGGGGTCTGCTGCGTGGGTGCAGCATTGTCATCGCTGGGTGCTGCAGGGCCTGCAGCCCTGGGTGCAGGCCTCGACGCGCCTGGAGCCGGCCCTGCACCTATTAAAGCAGCCACAGCGCAGGGCTGCCGGCACCTGGGAAGTTCGCTGCAGCTGGGCCACACGGGTGAGGCGCGACCCCATCCAGGTGAGGCACCGCACGGCGCTGAGCTGGGAGCCAGGAGCTCCAGGGGCCTCCACCCCCAGTGCCCTGTGCCCTCCAGCCCTGGCACCAGGCCTGGATTTCCCACGGGCCCCCAAGGTGTCTGGCAAGGGTGGGCAGCCCCTGCCCAGGCCCGTGGGCACAGCTGGGCTGGCAAGGGCAGCAGCTGCCGGGGCTGGAAGGAGCAGCTGCGGGAGGCGGCAGAGCTGGACTGGGTCCCCCGTGCTCCGGAAGCAGGGTGGTGCCAGCAGGGCTGGCGGGGAGGCCTGGGCAGGGACCCGTGGAGGGGAACCGGGATCTCACTGGGGGCGGAGAAGGGGGAACGACTGACAGCTCCACAGGTGGACGTGTGGGGCCCTCGGGCAGGAGCAGCCCCAGGGCTGTGGACAGCAGCGTTGCCCTGGGGAGCGGCCCGAGGATGGGAGCTCATCCCCGGGCCAAGGGGCAGGGGCAGGTTTCAGGCCACTCCAAGCCCAGGCACCCACGTCTCGCCTCCCGCCCCTGCAGAGCCGGTTCCTGCTGCCCCAGCGCAGACATGCTGCCAGGTGCCGAGATGGAGGCGCCCCCGGCAGAGCCCAGCGCCAACCGGATCGTGGTGTACGAGCGCCCCGGCTTCGAGGGGCTGCAGCGGGAGTTCACGTGCGACGTGCCCGACCTGCACGAGCTGGACTTCGGGGACTGCATCAGCTCCCTGCGCGTGGTGGGGCAGCCCTGGGTGGCCTACACGGGCCCCAAGTACGAGGGCGACGCCTTCCCCTTCGAGGAGGGCGAGTACGCGGAGGTGGAGCCGCGCGGCAGCTTCTCCTCGCTGCGCCTCGTGCACCACGACCTGGACGAGCCGCAGATCACGCTGTACGAGGACGCCGGCTTCGCGGGCCGCAGCAAGGTGGTGAGGGAGGAGACCAACCTGGCCTACGGCTACTTCGACGACCGCGTGTCCTCGCACGAGGTGCAGCGCGGCGTGTGGCTGCTCTACCAGGACCCGGGGCGCGGCGGCCGGCAGTACATCGCCTGGCCCGGC